AAAAAAAAGACTTTTTACCATAGCATGAAGCTTCAGGGTCACCTTGGAGCCGCAGTGTCGGTGATATTGCGCGGTCTTCCTCTGGCTTCTGTCGCACCCGCTGCTATGACAGATCATTTCTTCCGTGCTGCGCATGCCATTATCAGTGGAGGTCCCAACATTAAAGCTCGACTGTATTCGGAAGGTCTCCACATTTGGCTCATCAAAGTTATCTTCAAGGTAATGCGTTAACGAAATGATGGAATTGAGGGCAAACTTTTTGTTGAAGGAATGTAGAAGAATGCACGAAGAAGAGCAGCAGGAATCTAGCATGGATCATTCATTTGGAACTCTTTTACGTAGCTATGTTGGTATGTGAACCGCACGTCCTTATTATACGCCAATTTTCCCCTTGGAAGTCCTGTGAAACCTGGAAAAAACGCTTGCTCAAGTCATTAGGCAAATTTAGAACTGCTTTGCTTATTGCTAACTGGAAGTGGAGTGGAGTCTTTGAAACTCAAGGCAGCCAGAGATCATATTTTAGTACCATTGTTGCAATCTACAATTTTCCTGAAAAGGTTGGATATTAGTTTAGCATTTAATTCAAAGGCGAAATTACTTTTTGCAGAGTTCTGCTGAGACGCACACGAGCTGTTGAGGCTTCCCGATGTTCGCTTGAGAGGCTTCTTCGTCGTGTTTCTGCTAAAGATCCGTTGATGTTAATGAGAGCAGCGGTTCAATCCCTCGATGCAATTGAGGACTTGAACACTAAAGTAAAAAAAAAATTACGGAAGAGCGTACTTTTTATCAGTGAACTATTGCCGCTGACTATTTATAGGCGCACATTGTTTCCGTGATATTGGATGTTCTGAATCCAGAGCAAAAAGAAGAAGAGGATTTCCATATCCAAATTGAGAAGGATCCGGCTCAAGAGGACTTCTTGCAGGGCAGAATGACTGGTAATCCCTACAAGGTTGCTGTTTTAGTTATTGTCTTTCTCGCTGTTATTTAAGAGTACTTTTTTGTAGTCAACAGATGCTGGTCTAGGCCCGCTCATGCGGGACATTAAGAACAAGATCTGTCGAGATACTGAAATGATAGCACTTTTGGAAGATGACAATGGCATGGAGGTAATTTCTAATATTTTTCACGTAGTCATCGCATTGCTTAGAATCTACACTTCAGCTACTGGTGAACAACCAAATAATTTCGTTAGCACTTCCCGTTAGAGCAGTGTACGATAAACTTTGGAAGAAAACAAATCCGGGGCAGCCTATGGTGATTGTGTATAGGATGCGAGGTTTACTTGGAGATGCAGTGGAGACGTTTGTTTCCACTCTTGGTGAAGCTGAAGGAGGTATGGAAAGCTGCATTATTGCACTGAATTTTATGAAGTCGTAATTGGGTTGCCGAGAATCGACCATGTAGCTATTGGTGAACCCAATAATTTTGTTGGCGCATTCTGAGAATTTATGAAATGAAATTCTTTTTTTTTTTTGGATTTGCCTAATTTTGAACCGAATGGTTTTGGAAACTTGAAAGTTGATGACTATCTCTCAATAAGCCTTTGGACAACCTATTATTTTTTCAA